CCCAGCATTCATATTCAACAGTTAGATGACGTTTAGTGCGCGTTTTTAATTGGTTTCCTTATTCCCGGACAGTGAAGGGAGTCGAGTATTGTTCCTCGTTTTGTTTGCTGTATAATTTCTAAAATGGATTTTAATTTGGATGCTAATTCATGTTTATAATCTAAAACGGTCTGTGGGGTGTTTGTTGAAATGTGTTCAATGTTAGGTATTAAATTGTAAAAATCTAATTTGATCTTTATAGTAATAGTAGAAGTATTCTTATAATGTTATTTTGAAACAATCATACAATATACATACAATATACTACATTAAAAATTTGATTCAAATATATAAATACAATTACAAATAATACATGTATCCTTCCGCTATATCTTTACAGAGTAGAGAATCGAGTGCCAAAAATGACAATGCTTAATCCATGTCCTGATTCACAAACTCGTCTCTTTCATATCCATCAATTTCAAATTTTTTTTTTTTTTTTTATTGTTGATATTTAATTCCAGAAATTTTATATTGGCAATAATGTTGTTTGTTTTTTATGAGGCTCTTTCGAATCTTCATAAATTCTTTCTGTCTACCCTAATGGGAGATATGTAAATTTTATGATCACAAATACATTTATTGAATTACTGTTTTGCATCCGCCATTTGGCATGATCAGGACAGTAAACCAACAAAGATAAACGAGTAGCCATCACAAGTACAAAGCGAAAACGTTGAGAGATAACAGACAAAGAAATACAGATTTACAAATCAACCAAAGTTTAGTTTAAAAAATAATAATACGTTTTTATTTCTATGTAAATGTATACGGTCCGTCTGATGGTATAATGTTACAGCTTGTAACAACAAAATTGTCACATTAAAAACCTATTGAAAAACTAAAACCTGTAGGTCCTCTTTGTTTTGGCAAAGTCTTGGCAGAAACCAAGCTTTGCCTAGAGACGACAGTTTGTAGAATAACCTTTCTAGGTTATTTTACAACCTGAGTGATTGCTGGAGAAAGCTTCTCTAAAACCGCACTGTCCATGACCATTCTTCTAATGGGTGAGGATGGATTCCCTGCCAATAACAAACGGTGCGATGATACCACAAAGTCAGACGAACCGCTTAGTCCTCAAGCTAAGATATCCTGTTTACTAAGAGCCAGGCGTCATCTGAAAAATAACCCCAAAGCTACTACCGGTCTCTCTCTTATCACTTTTATCGATAAAATCTGCAAAAAAAAACTGTATACGAGTCGTTTATTCCAAAGCTTAAAAGGTTTAATTGTTGACCCTTTTTTGTTGACACATGCTTCTAGTGACTAGTTGTACACGTGTTGGCAAACACAGACCAAATATAACCGAAAAGGAAATAATCTAGTTATTGATTACATTATCAAGCACGATACTTTATGTCAACGGACGATCGACAGTGATTGATGTAATCCTGTACAATGTTTACTCATACAAAACGACCGATAGTGTATGTTTTGATTTTTATTACATGTAGCCATTTACACTTAGGGGACACGATTTCGATATTAACAATGTTGCACGTAATATAAATATTTTGTAAATAATTATTTATAGTATTTTTACTTTTTTATATAATTTACAATGGCAAACAAGCTGACGGCCCACCTGATTGAAAATGGTAATCGTCGCCTATAGACATGAGCAGTGCCATGGCCATAACAGAGTATACTGTTTCGCCCATGATACCTCCCATGCGTTGCCATTCCTGAGGACTCAGGTGTTATTCCTCTCTACCCAGTAAATTCACGCCATATCCCACCCTTCAAATCAAGTCGATTATTTCATTGCTTTTCCTACTTCTCAAATCCACACATTAAAAGTAGCAGGCGTAAGCTAGTATAAAATAAAGAGAAAAGTAGAAAAAAAAATGTTTAAAATGGGCATTAAGCGCTGAAGCTATCAACAAATGAAATTATTAACAAATTTCATTCGAAAAGAAGCAATTTGTAAATTGGCCTGAATTTTTTGTATGAAAGCCAACATCCTCTTTTCCAGGAGAAATCTCGGAATACCTCGATTAACTGTGTAGTGGTAGTGGTAACAGTGGTATAGTGAATTGTATTTAAGAATATTTGCATATGATAAAGTTATATTTTTACTATTTAAAATGTTTTTTTTTTTCTTTACAATTTACAGGATTTCCGTTACAAATACATAATTATCCCAGGCCAATTTTATTGATTTTCAATTCCCTTTCAAATAAGTAACAAATTAATAAACCAACTCCAACTTTAACAATATCCACTAGATAACTGAACAGTGTTACCACTCAACAATAACCTTGAAATGTATAAATACGAGGCAAATAAAAATACCGCAATTAAAGGAAACCATGAACGCGTCATCGGGGTAATTGGTGAGGCCATTCCGGCGTCTGGTGTGGACAAACGAAAACAAACTGAAGGAATTATTACCCGGGTTTTGCTTTATCAACTATTTTGTAAAACTTTAATGTATGGTGACGTTCACGAAAACCAGACTGGTGGAACAATATATCTTTCGAGTGAGCTGTGAATAATGGAGCATCTGTTCAAATAGGATATCGTTTATTTTTATCCATTGCAACGTCATTTGCTTGTTCAATCATTAATTTATCATTCTAAAACTGCGCAGTTTATGTAATTTTGAAAGAACGTAAAATTCAACTTTGTAAGATGTAGATTTATGTATCTCTATGTCATGAAAGGAGTCGAAGATTTTCGTAGAGTCCAAACACTATAAATGATGTTTCTAATACCGCAAAATAGGTAAGATGCTATTATTAATTGCATGTAATTTAAAAAGAAACTAGCATCACTACTTAATCTGAGAAAAATGAAAAAAAAATGTGGTGACATTTTTTTTTCTACACCACGAAAGCGGTAAAAAAGCATACAGCGCGTCTGAACGTACTAGATCACTGTAGCCTATGGACGCATGCAACACTAGGAGTGCTTGTAGCCGATCATAAAGAAACCTTAATACATTGTATTTATAGAATTGCAAATCCGGCACCATATGGAGTATTGCTATCGCTTATGGGCGGAAGCACCTAAATACCAGCTTGAACCCTTCGACTCAGTGCAACGACAAGCTATGAGAATTGTCGATGATCCCAGGCTTACAAGCGGTATCGAACCCTTAAGTCTTAGGAGAGGTTCTGTCTCACTCTGCGTGTTCTACCGCTTGTACAACAGATTGTGCTTAGAGGAATTATTCAATATGATACCCACGGCCACTTTCTATCATCGTACGGCTCGCCATCGACAGGGAGTTCACCATCATACTCTACAGCCTAAATGCTCTCACAACGCGGTTTCACAGATGTTTTCTCCCTCGAACACTCAGTTTATGTAATGAATTCCCGACCACATACTTTTTTTTTTGTTGCAGTATCTGGTAGTGCTCCTCAAATATTGCGTCTAAATTGCGTCCACCATGTATCCTCTTGTATAGGCATTCAATCACCCGTATCCAATAGCGAGGACGGGATGTCTTAAATGTTGCACCGAAAACCATAAAAAAAAAAATCTCTACCGAGGTTTTCCCAAGAGACTACAGTATGGAGTTCTTCAAAAGGGGGTTAAAGAGGTTTCTTCAGGGTCGGCAACGCGTGCATAATACCCGTATTGCAGGTCTATGAACGGCTACAGTAACCACTTACAATCAGGTGGGCCGTATGCTTGTTCGCCACCTCAGGGGTATAAAAAAACCCCATTCTGTAGTATCTAGGGAAAAAATATGGTCAAAGGTGAAACAACGACAACCCTTGCTGTTCCTTATTATTGTTACTGTGTTAAGCTCCTAGATATTTTGTGGCCTGGTTTCTCTTAAAACAGGATACCCTCGTTTGAGGACCAGGCAATTGGCATGATTGCGTGGTAGTAATTATTATTAATATTGCCGTATGATCCAGGCATAGGATGGGCCTCCACTTCATTTCACGTGGGTGTCGTAAGAAAAGATTAAGGAAACTTAATGATTGAGGGATGAGCAATAGCGTCCCTTTTAAAAATTACCAAAACCTAACTATTGTCGCCAACCAGCCTGTCAGGGGGAAAGGGATTGTTAGTAATGGAGACTGAGAATCTCATTGCTAGCAATATACCCAACCAGGTCGACCTCCTCGCGGTTCTCCCTAGAAACTATCACGGTTAATTCCTGATGAATTCATCATGATGAGCTAACTGGCCTGTATTCATTCTCATCTATCACCCCTCATTGGTGCTCCGCCAGCGTATCCCATCAGCGCAGGTGGGGTTACCACACTATTTTTACCCATAAAAAAAAACAGCCTGTCAAGTATGCTAATTGCTGGCAAACCCCCCCTTATGGGGGAAGTCTATGTTCACCAGTGAACAATTAACGGCTGATATGTTGATGATTAATTATTATTAATATTAGAAGTGTAAAAGAATATATTTAATAATAATAATAAAACCTCTGGTAATATTACGTTATCTGGCAGTTGTAAGGCCATGGCGGCAGCTGACAGGTTGCAATTTCCGAATTGTCAGATTGTTAGACATTTTGTGGTTCAGAGATCGGAAGCATAGTAACGTGCCTAACATCACGAATCTCGCGTATACTTTAAACGGGCCAAATTACAAAGTATGTTAGCGAGAATATAAAGGAATATTTTAAAGGGCATATACCTTACTTATCTAAAAACTAAAATGACATGTGATAATTGAACTTTAAATTATGAATAATTTGTATTTAAAATAGATATTTTATAATAACAATTCGAAATTCTTCAAAAAGTTTCGCCCCTGGGTGGGCTCGAACCACCAGCCTTCCGGTTAACAGCCGAACGCGCTAGCCAATTGCGCCACGGAGGCTGATGCTACCTCTTTTGAAAATGTCAATTACTACCATTTATAAATTTTACCATTGTAATAAACATGAAAGACAAAGACAAAGATATCGATATAACTGCTTTTACCTAAGAGCGAAATGTTTCATTGGAAACCTGTTTTGATCTGTTCCTTGAATGAATTCCAAAGTTTACTGTGAGATTTTTGTGTCGCACACACAACATAACAATAAAAGCATAGTCCAACACGCAGTGTACTGTTGGAAAACGGTTTAAGATTGAGGTGAAGCTAAGCATTTGAGGTTATGTTGACAAGTGTGTTGTAGCTTGTGAGCTTTCGTTTACCAATTAATTCTTATTTTATTTCGTTAAATATTCAATGTGGATGAAATTAGAGTGTTTCACTGACATACTTACTGAAATTAACTATGAATGTAACTTTAGCTTACTTAATTTGTGTTTAGTGAAATTATTATACCTGACTCGAATGTTATTGTGAACGGTTAAATTTGGCGTAATAGTGAAGTGATTCATTCAAAATTTTTCCCTCAAAAAAAGTTTTGGGTGTGCCTACTATGGCAAGCCGGGTGGCGGGCGCGTGCTGCGCCGCGTCTGTTGAGCGGGCCGGCTTGCCCGGGTTACTACGTGATTTGCAAAGATTATCCGAAGACCATGACTCGGCCGATATTGTTTTTATATTGGGCACAGCAGAGGAAAAAATCTACGCACATAAAATAATTATGGTTGCCAGGTAAATTGATGTCAATTAAATGCAAAAAACACTTCCCATACCGGGAATCGAACCCGAGCCTCCTGGGTGAAAGCCAGGTATCCTAGCCACTAGACCATATGGGAGACGAATAAAAGGCTTGTAAATAGAATTATACTCTTAAGTATCTTTTATACAAACCTAATATAAAATTACTTTTAACAACAATTTAACTAAATAATTTATAACAGATTAACTGCGAGAGAATGCTATTATATCAGATATTTTTTTTGTAATGTGATTAATAAAGAATAAATAAAACAAAAAATTTTTTGAACAAATTAATTAGTTTATATAACATAAATTAAATTTTATATACCATTTATTTTTTCACATCTAATCGAATACAATACAGGTAAATAAAATGTAACATCAACCACATATAGTGTACAGCCATTTTACCTACTACTAAAGGTAATGATCTCAAAATTTTAACTTGAATAAAAATAACTTTCAAACACCCTAATTTGTACAATTTCTAGAAACAGCGAGTTGCAAATTGCAACCTTTCATGATTGCAGTAAATTCAGTGTTTCAAATGCAAATGTATTTTAGCACCCGCTCTGTGAAGACGCAATTTGGCTCATTACTCGTACCGAGTTAACGTAACGCAATAAATATAGAAATATTAAAATGGATATTCATTCGAATTTAATATTATTGTCTTTTCTATTTACGTTCAAGTAGCAAAATCAGTTTATTTCATAAATAACAGTGTGAATAGCGCCATCTATTGTCGAGGAGTAAATAGTAGCTTCTTTTTCGTAGATGTCACTGCTATCGCGAAATTAAAAAATCTTCGTTCTTCATAATACCATTTATCCATCTAACATGACAAAGCTACCTGTATATAAGTATTTATTTTTATTTATATACCTATATTAAATAAATATATTCTTTATTACATTCAGAAATATAGTGATAATATCAATTATTACAAATAATGTAAGCAAAGGTGATAAAAGAGATCTCTCTTCCAATCAACTCATCAGAGTGGCATAGAAAGCCAAGGTTATAACAATTATATGTAATAGCTCTCTTGTTCATAATCATACTAACTATTACACTATTTTGGCCACTTTCTGTCAATTTAGGAATCTAGCACAAAAGAAAGAGACAAAACAGTTCAATGGCTAAAATAAGATTATGGGAGGTCTGACGTTTTTATGAATAATGAGATTAGACTAATTTTTTACCTGAAACAAGGTATTGAATAAAACTAAAATGGAAAATTTCAACTCGAGTCTTTTAATTTCTTATAAAGTGGTCGAAGAAATCGTGTGGATTAATTACATTATTATTTTTTGTTTAAACGACTGTTAGCTTAGCTGTATTTTTTACTACATAATGTAAGATTTTTTTATTTTTTTTTTTTTATTTAGCATCTAAAATGAACCGTTACTTAGTGATTTACCTACCAACATCAAACCACTGTTTATTTTAATAGATGTTAAAAAAAATATCAATTAATAAATCTAAAATACGTTATAAATATTATATTTTTGTATTTAATAAGTTTATATACAATTTTATAAATATTATCTTTTTATTTTTATTATAATTAATGAATTTAGAAAATAATTATTAGTCATTCAACGACTCGGTGGTAGTAATCAAGGAATATAAAAATGGCGATACACTTTTGGAGAGGCCAGTCGTGTTCGGAACGTCTAAGAGAATGGAATCGTAGATTATAATACTATCAAGACAAGCGGAGTGTTACTTTATACCGATCACTCTAAAAATAAGTAGATATTTATAGATAGATAATTTATTTGCATTACTTACTTACAACACCCAAATTACAATATAGATATACAAAAAAAGCGTGATGACATTAATGATAAAAAAATACATAAAGCTAAATACAATTTTCGTTTGTGAGTGTGTCATAGCAATACAAAATGGCCACAACTCAGTTTATTGCTTCGCCCTCAAAAGAGCAAAGCACTGATATTCTGTTGCGGCCAAAGGGAATAGGGTAACAATAAAATGATACTACCAGATTATCTATACACTAAACAGCAATATGATAGTTCATCTAGCAGATAAATGGTACATAGAGGTAACTTGCTGGAACATCCAACTTTTACCTCCCAATTAAGATTTTTTGTAAATTAATTTTGAAACTGGACTTAGTAGTTATATTAGTTTATAACTCTAGAACAACTCGGCTACCACTTTTTTTTTTTAATGGGTGATAATGGAATGGTGAACCCACCCGCGCTATTGGTATACACCGGCGGGGCACCAGTGAAGGATGATAGGTGAGAATGAAGCAGGTCAGTTAGCCTATCGTGATGAATTCAACAAGAATTGTTCACGATGGTTTCCAGGGGGAACCACGTGGAGGTCGACCTGATAGGGCATATTGCTAGCAATGTCAAACTCCATTGCTAACAATCCCTTCCCCCCCCCCCCCCCCCCATGGCTACCACTTGTTTCACATGATTAATTTAAAAGTTGCCGTGTCGCTCGAGCGCGATCAATCTCTCTCGATGACGCGGCTCGTCTTATTAAATTATAATTTGTTCCCCGTCCTCATTTACTTGTTAAGTACAAGTTGAAGTTAATATCTACAATAATTACTTACATAATTGATTTCCTACATTTGCACGTAATTACGGTGCCTAATCAATACATAGTATAAAACAAAGTCGCTGTCTCTGTCTGTCCGTCCCTATGTATGCTTAAATCTTTAAAACTACGCAACGGATTTTGAAGCGGTTTTTTTTTTTTTTAATAGATAGTGATTCAAGAGGAAGGTTTATATGTATAATACATGCAAAATATTGCAGAGAAACACTGATTAATTTAGAGGTTTCTAATGTGATGTCATAAATAAACACATTTTTTTCTTTTACAATGCAAACGCTGGCTGAACCCCACGAGATTAATCAAAATAATGTACTACAGTATTGTACACTTTAAAAAGGTCAACAAAAAAGTCCGCGATGGTATATGTCTATCTCTTAAGGATAACCCACGATAACCATTTTTTATCCTTTACATTTTACAGGAAAAAATGGCTTATTTACGAAGTGATTTTAGGCATTACAGCATTAATTTTTATCCAATTATGTACCTTAAATAAATTGTCCATTTAATATAGATCAATATGGCGGTTACGTCAGTACCAGCCGAGGGGGGGGGGGCTATTTAGTATCAACATTGCACCCGTGTGAAGCCGGGGCGGGTCACTAGTTATTAATAAATTGCCAAGGGTGGCAATTACTGGCGACACTTCCCACAGGAAGGCTTATGTTAAGCAGTGGACAGTTAACGGTTGAAAAAAAAATAAAAACAGTGCCTAATAATAATTTAAGATTTTCCTAAAAAATCGACTTCAATTGTGGCATAATCAGCTATTTAATTTAAAAACTATACCGATTTTGATAAAATGGTATCATATGTAGAGAATACGGTCCCGACTGGTTTTTTTAATTCCGGGATTTCGGGATTACTGAAAGATAATACCGGGATCCCGGGATCGATCCCGGGATCAATTTAAGAATGCAATAGCAATAAAAGGTCAGTAAATTATTTCCAATCATTCTATTTTTATTTTGGTAATAGGTAATAGTTTCATTTTAAGGCTATATTAAACAAAATTATGTTTCTAATTTCGTTGAAGACTAATATTTGTACTTTACAAATTGTAATACATACTTATTAAAAATTAAACTTTGAGAAAATCAACTTTGTTAGACTCACTTAGAGAAACCGGCCGCCTTTTGGTATCACTTCTCGTTAATATTTACTGTATTTGTTATTTTTCTTTTTACTTGGTGCAAATAAAGTGTAAAATAAATAAATAAATGTAATTTCTGCAAAATTGTTTCACATCAACGCATTCACACCGGAAACCATTCCGTAATCTCGTCTCGTGTGTTTACGCGAGCATCTGATTATCGGCGCGGAAAACCACATCAGCTGGTTTGTTAATCGTTCAAATAACTTGTAACCTTAACGTAGATAGGTACCCGAGCACCCAACATACGTAATTTGGGTACGAAATCTGTCTCCTAATCACCGTTACGGAATTACGGATTATTTCGGAACAAGCATAGACAATGTTTTGTCCTACCATAGACATACGTAGGTACAAACGATTTTCCTCTATGTATCATTGAAATTTTTATTTTTTTTTATTTTTGCTTCATGTATTAATATTTTTTTTCCTTTCAAATATTATACTTATTAAGGTATAGTAACATTACATAACGGTAAAATTATTTAATATTTTTGTAAAACCTGAACAATCAAGCACTGTTCCAAATGCTTCAGTGGCAAGATTTTGTCTTCGATCATTTAAAATATTTTTATTAGTGGTAATATTTGAACTTGGATACGATGTTAATACATATAGTTTCGGGCAAAAGTTCTGCCGTCCCATTTAAAAAAAAAAAAACTATCAATTCAATAGCAGTTGTGTTTGCATGGCTGTGTTTCGGTTTGAAGGGTGGGATATGGCGTGAATTTACAGGGTACAGAAGAATAACATCTGAGTCCTCAGGAATGGCAACGCATGGGGGGTATCATGGGTGAAACAGTATACTCTGTTATGTCCATGGTACCGCTCATGTCTATAGGCGACGGTTACCGCTTTCCATTAGGTGGGCCGTCAGCTTGTTTGCCATTCTAAGTTGTATAAAAAAAAAATAGCCCTTATATTTTGTGACTATTAAATTTGGTCGGAATCGCGTTATTGTCAATTTATCACTTTTATCGCATTTCGGAAAGCAGGGCGAGTGCACTCCACTCGGAGAGATAGTGTAAAGGTACCGATAAGATGCACCGTAACTAGATCTATGCTATTACCTCTGAAGATGGTTTAAATATACAAATGCATACGCAAATATGCAAACGCAATGTGCATTTGCATTCGGCCCTATTTATTAAAAATAAATAATGTAGTATGCTTACATTAAATTAATTTGCTGTATCTTATTTTTTAATTACCTTTTTTTTATACAACTTAG